CAAACAAATTTTTTGATGATGTTCATGGAAGAAACAGTGGGACAGAAAACAGGTAACACTAGGCAAAACAGTAAAGTTTACATATAAAACAACCTGCAAACTGGACTATAGTTAGAACTATAGTGCTGATTATAAAATAGACTACACAGAGGGAAAATGAAATATACACTCCTGGTACCAAATTGACACCAACCTGTTTATAATTTTTCAATACCATCCGTTGTCAAAGTATATACATAAGTACGTACGACAACACTATGTAATGTTGACAACATTGCAACAGTTCGTTGTCGAAATCTAAATTTTACACACATCCGTTTTCTTAATGTTAACAAACGTGGTAAGCTCACTATTGACAAACAATCCGTTGCCAATAGTGAGCTTACCACGTTTGTTAATATTTAGACAACGGATGTGTAAAAAATTTAGATTTAGACAAGGAAGTGTTGCAATGTTGACAACGTTGCGTTGTCAACATTACATAGTGTTGTCATACGTATGTATATACTTTGACAAAGGAAGTATTGAAAAATTATAAACTCTTTGGTGTCAATTTGATACCAGGCGTGTATATTCCTTTTCTCTCTGTGTTATAGACTTAAATATAGACTAGACAATACTCATGACCCAGACTACTATACTAGACTATAGACCAACTATAGACTACGTAGACCCCTATTAGAGCAAACTATAGACCAAACTATAGACTAGACACCAAACCTAGACTAGACTAGACATAGACTAGACTTATAGACTAGATATAACTAGACTATAGACTTAGACTATAGACGACTATAGATTAGACTAAGACTAGACATAGGACTATCGACTAGACTATAGACTAGACTATCGACTAGACTATGAACTAGGACTATAGACTAGACTATAGACTAGACTATTAGACTAGACTATAGACTAGACTATAGAATCGGACTATAGACTAGACTATAGACTAGGACTATAGCCTAGACTATAGACTAGACTATAGACTAGACTATAGACTAGACTATAGGACTAGACTATAGACTAGACTATCGACTAGACTATGACTAGACTATAGACTAGACTATAGACAATAGACTATAGACTAGACCTATAGACTAGACTATAGACTAGACTATAGACTAAGACTATAGACTAGACTATAGACTAGACTATAGACTAGACTATAGACTAGACTATAGACTAGACTATAGACTAGACTATAGACTAGACTATAGACTAGACTATAGACTAGACTATAGACTAGACTATAGACTAGACTATAGACTAGACTATAGACTAGACTATAGACTAGACTATAGACTAGACTATAGACTAGACTATAGACTAGACTATAGACTAGACTATAGACTAGACTATAGACTAGACTATAGACTAGACTATAGACTAGACTATAGACTAGACATAGACTAGACTATAGACTAGACTATAGACTAGACTATAGACTAGACTATAGACTAGACTATAGACTAGACTATAGACTAGACTATAGACTAGACTATAGACTAGACTATAGACTAGACTATAGACTAGACTATAGACTAGACTATAGACTAGACTATAGACTAGACTATAGACTAGACTATAGACTAGACTATAGACTAGACTATAGACTAGACTATAGACTAGACTATAGACTAGACTATAGACTAGACTATAGACTAGACTATAGACTAGACTATAGACTAGACTATAGACTAGACTATAGACTAGACTATAGACTAGACTATAGACTAGACTATAGACTAGACTATAGACTAGACTATAGACTAGACTATAGACTAGACTATAGACTAGACTATAGACTAGACTATAGACTAGACTATAGACTAGACTATAGACTAGACTATAGACTAGACTATAGACTAGACTATAGACTAGACTATAGACTAGACTATAGACTAGACTATAGACTAGACTATAGACTAGACTATAGACTAGACTATAGACTAGACTATAGACTAGACTATAGACTAGACTATAGACTAGACTATAGACTAGACTAAAGTCTAGTCTAAAGTCTAGTATATACTTTAGACTAGACTTTAGACCAGACCATAGACTAAGCTTACAACTCCCTAATCGATTCTAATAAAATATAACAAATATTTTACAATATACTCAATCAAAGCTACTGTCATTTTTACTCTGTGTACAAAATGTTCATGTATGTAAAATAAATGTGTTTGTTATCATGTGTATCTATGTAGAAATGTATCTTTTAGTATGTTACAATATTTGTATACTAACAACAACTACAACTAAAACAACAATAATAGTAATAATAATAATAATAAAATCTCTGCTAATGCATTATGCTGATGCATACTTGATGTTCGTTGGTCGGATGGTTGGTTTGGTTGGTTTGGATGGCTGATTGTTTGGTTTATTTTGCAATTGTAGAAGTGTACATAGATAGATACATATGGAAGTAAGTATATGTATGCATGTATCCATACGTATGTAGTTCTCATATATGGTTTGCATGAAGCAAATAAAATCTTTTTAAGTATATAATGAGGATGTTAACAGCCATACATACTTTACATACTTACACAGGAAAAAAAAGCACACATTTGTATGTACTCATGCCACGTAACTACTAAAAACATACATACATTGTACACATCTACAACATGTGTATGGTGATGTTGCATTAAAAAGGATGTTTTATTATTATAATAATGTTTGCATGTAAATATTGTACGTATTTATACACTCAAAAGAATTAAAGAGTTCATGATTAAGCACGATTATTTTAATTGATTGCACTTTATTATTCAATTATATTTTTCACATTAGACGAATTATGTACTTGAGATATTAATGTAGTATCCTAAAGAAGTCTCATTTCATATTTCATCGATATGAAGATATTTAATATAAAAGGAAAAAGTGCAGACTATAGACTTGACTATAGCACAGACTATGAACTTGCTATAGACCAGACTAAGGACTTGACTATAGTCGAGACTATGGACTTGACTATAGTCCAGACTACGGACTTGACTATAGTCCAGACTATTGATTAGACAATAGTTCATACTATAGACTAGACAAAAATCCAGACTATAGACTAGACAAAAGTCCAGACTATAGACTAGACTAGACTATATACCAGACTATAGACTTGACCACAGCCCAGACTACAGATCAGACCATAGTCCAGACTATAGTCCAGACTATAGTCTAGATTATAGACTAGACTATAGTCTAGATTATAGACTAGACTATAGTCTAGATTATAGACTAGACTATAGTCTAGATTATAGACTAGACTATAGTCTAGACTATAGACTAGACTATAGTCTAGACTATAGACTAGACTATAGTCTAGACTATAGACTAGACTATAGTCTAGACTATAAACTAGACTATAGTCTAGACTATAGACTAGACTATAGTCTAGACTATAGACTAGCCTATAGACTACACTATAGTCTAGATTATAGACTAGCCTTTAGTCCAGACTATAGACTAGGCTATAGTCCAGACTATAGTCCAGACTATAGGCTAGACTATAGTCCAGAATAAGCAATAGTTCAGACTATAGACTAGATTATAGTACAGACTATAGAGTTGACTATAATCCAGACTATAGACCAGACTATAGTCCAGACTATAGATTATACTATAATCCAGACTATAGGCTAGACTATAGTCCAGACTATAGACTAGACAATAGCCAAGACAATAGACTAAACTATAGACTAAACTATGGTCCAGACTATAGACTGTAGAACAAACTTTAGACTAGACCATAGAGCAGACTTTAGTCTGAACTATAGTCCAGACAATAGACTAGATTATAGTCCAGACTATAGACTAGACTATTGTCCAGACTGTAGAGTACATTATAGTCCAGGCTATAGACTAGACTATAGTCCACACTATAGAGTAGATTATAGTCAAGACTATAGACTAAAACTATGGTCAATTCAATAGACTAAACTATGGTCCAGACTATAGACTAAACTATAGTCTAGACTATAGACTAGACTATAGTCTAGATTATAGACAAGCCTTTAGTCCAGACTATAGGCTAGACTATAGTATAAACTATACTCCAGACTAAAGTCTAAACTATTGTCCAGAATATAGTCTAAACTATAGTCCAGACTATAGACTGGTTTTGCATAAATTATAGTCCAGACTATAGAGTAGACTATATTACAGACTATAGACTAGATTTTAGTCCGGGCCTAGACTATAGTCTATCCTATAGACTACACTATCGTCCTTTCAATAGACTAGACTATAGACCCGACTATAGACTAGACTATTGTCCAGACCATAGACTAGACTATAGTCCAGACTATAGACTAGACTATAGTCAAGACTATAGACTAAACTATAAACTTTAGACTAGACTATAGATCAAACTGTAGACTAGTCTATACACTAAACTATATACTAGATTACAGTCCAGACTATACTCTAAACTATAGACTAGACTATAGTCAAGACCAGATTATAGGCTATACTATAGTCCAGACTAAAGACTAGACTACAGTCCAGACTATGGAATATGCTATATATTCAGCAAAAGTTTAAACTATTGTTCTTTTGTGTGCAAGTCTAAAGTCGGAATATTTTGTCCATAAACCACAATTCATCTTAAATCTAACCACAATTCTCCAAGTGTAACAACCATTGTCCTGCGATTTCCTTTAAACAGTAACAACGACTATGAATATGCAAAATATGACAAAGAAATTGAGAAAAAAAAAAACACAAAAAGTCTGAGATTACAGATTAGATAACAATGAATATGTATATTCTATCTAACAACATGTTAGTTGCTCCCATTGTGCTTGCAACAATACAAGCATGAAGGTAAAGAAATTCTAGGTAAATGAATATCAAACGAAAAGTAAATATGTTAAAGTTGCAATAGCATAGAAAAAATTCCTTTTTTTTTTTGTACGGAGAGACAGATTTATATAGAGATAAACTTTAAAAGAAAATAGAAAAAAATATATATCTTTTCCACTTACCTTATTGGAGTTTCCATTGAATTTCAATAATTTCTTGCAAGATTTACCACGACTCTCGAAATAAATCTCTTGGGGTGTGCGACGATGTGTATGATTCTTTTTCAACAGATTCATATAGGAAGAGTTATGATGGGGCGTTGCAGTGACTGCATTAGCTGCTGCCGTTGCATAACCACTGTTGCCATTCGCATGTGTTGCAGGCGACATTGTGCCACAATTGTTGTAAGTATTATAATCACCACTAGAAGTGCCGGTCTTAGCACGTGTATGACTGCTGCATAAGAGACGACTTAATATGCCGCAACAACCAAATGGTGGACTGGACAATGGTTCTGATGATGTGGTTATATTGTTGCTGCTGCTACTGCTGCGCCGTTGTTGCTGTTGTTGTTGATGATTATTAATGCTATTGTTATTGTTGTGTAGATGGCTGTGTAGATTGCTGTGACCATTGTTATCACTATAACTTCCAGCTGAGATGGTCTTGAGCTCTAAACCATTTGCCGTTGTTGGCTTACGTAGATTAACATCGATTTCCATTGTTACGAATTGCACTTTATATGCATTTCCGTTTTAAAACACAGTAGTTGTTGTGTGTGTGTGTTGGAGTGTTGAAAGCGGAAGTGTGCTTGCTGTTTTATTTTGTGTTTGTGCTTAACTTGAAGATTTATTAGTTGATATTAGAGGTATTAGTTTTAAAATCTAAGCCACACATGTATATTGTTGAAGTGTTAGTTTGTTTGTGTTATGACACCTTTTTATATTTATATTTGTTACGTACAATGACTAGGTAACAAGCATATCCGTTTCCTCTTACGTTAAACGGAAGTAAGAGAGTTTTTTTTCGTATTTATTCAATGAAAGTTTTTTTTCATATGCAATATTAAACGTTACAATTGTTGTTATATACACAACATATTTTCACTTTTTAAAATTATTTATTTTTTTGTATTTTTCTTTTACTTCCGCTTTTAAATTGTTGTTTTTGTTGTGTTATTGTTTAGTTTATTAATATGCAAATCACGGATGTTTGTATTTTTCTAAACATTTAATATTTTTTCCCGTTACTTTTTTTTCGTCATTTCACTTTTCTGCTTCCGTTTCTTTTTTGTTCATTTATTAACCGTTGTTATTGTTTTATGTTTGTATTTATGAGTGTGTGTATGTTTTATTTCCTTTTTTCCCTCTTATATTGTTGTTTGGTAACTTGGTGTTGCTTGGTTGTTTTTTTCTTGTTGCCAAGAAGTTTATGCAGTCAGTTGCTTAAAGGACTTTAAGACCTTTTCATTGTTTTCATTAAGGATCCTTTCTTAATGTTTTTGTTGTCGTTTTTGTTTTCTTTCTTTTTCTTGTTTTTTATGTTAAACACTCAATTTACAAGTTTTGTGTAATATTGTTGTTGTTTTTTAGGAATTTTTCCTATTTTTTGTTTACAATTAATTAAATTTTTGTGTTAATTTAATTATTTAATTAAATTTATAGTCTAGAGTAGATAGAAAAGAATTTAGAAAATAATTTATTTAAAAAAGTTTTATGAAGGAGTTTGGTATAATATGACAATATAGACAAAAATATTACACTGTCCAACACACTCAAAAAGGATCACACAAATTTTTAGAACTCGTTAAAAATAATAGATACTTCAATAGAAACAGAACTCTCAGTACCTCAGTACTCAAACCTAAGTCACATTGAAAGTGGCGAGGAATTCTTTCGCAGGTGCGGCTGAAACTTTCCTGTACTTTTCTTGTAATATGTTGTGCGATTCACTGTCTAATCCCCAATAAATGGATGTGTTCTTGACGACATAATGAGGGCTATTATACGCAACAATTTTACAAAAGTGTTCAAATATTAATCTTAATTTTCTCAAAATTCCATACAACTTTTAATTTTAATCCCAACCCTATTCTAAGCCACTGCACTATACAATCTATAACCATGTACAATAACAATAAACCATTAAAGAAGTTTTGTTCGTTACAAACTTTTTAGGTATAAAATACTCTTAAAATCTATCAAATAAATTGCCGTATAGTACTTTAAAGTTTTCTTAACTAAAAGAGAAACAATTTTTGCAAGCAGCAAGGACTTCGAAGAAAGTAGCAAGAAAGTACTTATTTATATAGAAATACGTTGTATGGTACACGGACAGACAGAGACAAGACGGGGAGAAAAAAACGACAGACAAGAGAGGAACAGAGAGGGAGAAAGGGACCACAAGAGGGGACAAAGGAGGGAAAGGAAAGAGGGGAACAAGAACGAGGGGAAGACGAAGGGCGGACAGACGAAGGGAAAAACACGAGGGAGGGAAGAAACGAACGAACGAACGAAAAAACGAACGAACGAACGAACGAACGAACGAAACGAACGAACGAACGAACGAACGAACGACCGAACGAACGAACGAACGAACGAACGAACGAAACGAACGAAAACGAACGAACGAACGAACGAACAACGAACGAACGAACGAACGAACGAACGAACGAACGAACGAACGAACGAACGAACGAAACGAACGAACGAAACGAACGAACGAACGAACGAAACGAACGAACGAACGAACGAACAACGAACGAACGAACGAACGAACGAACGAAACGAACGAACTAACGAACGAACGAACGAACGAACGAACGAACGAACGAACGAACGAACGAAAACGAACGAAAGAACGAACGAACGAACGAAGAACGAACGAACGAAAACGAACGAACGAACGAACGAAACGAACGAACGAACGAACGAACGAACGAACGAACGAACGAACGAAACGAACGAACGAACGAACGAACGAACGAAAACGAAAGAACGAACGAACGAACGAAACGAACGAACGAAGAACGAACGAACGAACGACCGAACGAACGAACGAAAAGAACAACGAACGAACGAACGAACGAACGAAAGAACGAACGAACGACGAACGAAACGAACGAACGAACGAACGAACGAACGAACGAACGAACGAACGAACGAACGAAAAGAACGAACGAACGAAAAACGAACGAACGAACGAACGAACGAACGAAACGAACGAACGAACGACGAAAGAACGAAGAACGAACGAACGAACGAACGAACGAACGAACGAAGAACGAACGAACGAACGAAGAAGAACGAACAAAAACGAACGAACGAACGAACGAACGAACGAACGAACGAACGAAACGAACGAACGAACGAACGAACGAACGAACGAACGAACGAACGAACGAACGAACGAACTAACGAACGAACGAACGAACGAACGACGAACGAACGAACGAACGAACGAACTGAACGAACGAACGAACGAACGAACGAACAACGAACGAACGAACGAACGAACGAACGAACGAACGAACGAACGAACGAACGAACGAACGAACGAACGAACGAACGAACGAACGAAACGAACGAACGAACGAACGAAAACTAACGAACGAACGAACGAACGAACGAACGAAAGAACGAACGAACGAACGAACGAACGAACGAAGCGAACGAACGACCGAACGAACGAACGAACGAACGAACGAACGAACGAACGAACGAACGAACGAACGAAACGAACGAAACGAACGAACGAACGAACGAACGAACGAACGAACGAACGAACGAACGAACGAACGAACGAACGACGAACGAACGAACGAAACGAACGAAACGAACGAACGAACGAACGAACGAACGAACGAACGAACGAAACGAACGAACGAACGAACGAACGAACGAACGAACGAACGAACGAACGAACGAACGAACGAACGAACGAACGAACGAACGAACGAACGAACGAACGAACGAACGAACGAACGAAGAACGAACGAACGAACGAACGAACGAACGAACGAACGAACGAACGAACGAACGAACGAACGAACGAACGAACGAACGAACGAACGAAACGAACGAACGAACGAACGAACGAACGAACGAACGAACGAACGAACGAACGAACGAACGAAACGAACGAACGAACGAACGAACGAACGAACGAACGAACGAACGAACGAACGAACGAACGAACGAACGAACGAACGAACGAACGAACGAACGAACGAACGAACGAACGAACGAACGAACGAAGAACGAACGAACGAACGAACGAACGAACGAACGAACGAACGAACGAACGAACGAACGAACGAACGAACGAACGAACGAACGAACGAACGAACGAACGGAACGAACGAACGAACGAAACGAACGAACGAACGAACGAAACGAACTAGAACGAACGAACGAACGAACGAACTAACGAACGAACGAACGAACGAACGAACGAACGAACGAACGAACGAACGAACGAACGAAACGAAGAACGGAACTAAACGAACGAACGAACGAACGTAAACGAACGAAACGAACGTAACTAACTAACGAACGAACGAACTAACGAACGAACTAACGAACGAACGAACGAACTACGAACTAACTAACGAACGAACTAACTAACGAACTAACTAACTAACTAACTAACTAACTAAACTAACTAACTAAACTAACTACTAACTAACTAACTGACTAACTAACTAACTAACTAACTAGGCTTGAGAACCAAAACAATCCATCCCACGACAATTGGATCTTCGCTCCGGAACGACCCGAGTCATACTCGGGTCCACAGCTGCATCAAAGTTTTGTCCCCAGGAAAGAACTATCAGTCACTGTCGAATTGTTACAACAATAACCAAAACATTGTTCCAATTAAGAAATCTACTACATCCAGCATTTATGTTACAATTTCCACGATAAACTAACAATATTTAAAATTTCATTTAAATTTTTTTCATTTCCTACAAAAACTACCACAACGAAATAAATACAATGATGTGTGCATACATATATATACATATGTATGTATGTACAACTTAAAGGAAGAGTGAGTGTAAAAACTAAAAAGCAGCAGCAAAAAAACCAAATCGTAAGCAGTTTAGTAGAGTTGAGTAAAACTTTGATCATAAAATTAAATATCGTTATAAAATATCGTAAAAGAACTTCCTACAAGAAAATGTAATGGAAAATATTTCTTTACTAAGAAATATTTAAATTAAATTAAAAAGATAATGCTAGAAACACACACTTACATACTCATATACATATGTATATGTATGTATATGAATGATAATGTAATATTTAGATGTGTACTTCAATGCATTAAATATTTTGTATTTAAATATAAGTACAGATTACTTTGTATGACCAAATTTCATTTAACAAAGTTCATAGATTAAAACTACTATATTTAATGTTTAATAGCAACTACAAATTCAAGAGATATTTACAAGTATCAAGAAGTTTTAAGAACATTAAAGTTATTTGTTAAGTTTCTAATAATAAAGTAATAATAATATACTTCAATATTTTAAATCAAATAAAAGTATTTCTTATTAAATATTTAAGACATAATAATTAAATATCGGTTGGTCTCATTATATATGTATCTTTAATACCTATTCATATTTTAACCTAAAAATTGTTGTAAATTTTTTAGAATTTATAAAAGTAGTTTTCTCCAAATAACTGTTTATTCTTCATAATTTTATTTTATTTGTGGGTTTCTTGATTTTTGAAACTCTACAAGTTATTGCAAAATAAACTTGTAGTATATAGGTTACGTATACATAATATACACATCAAAAATCACTCATACTACCCGTACACCACAACATAACAATGTATGGCATTTATTATTCATTTTTCCAAAATTTGAAAAAAAAATCTACTTTTATGAAGAGAAAACACTTTACGCTTCTACTTTGTATTAAAAGTAAAATTCAGTTGTAGAATAAAATTGTGAACATTTAAGTCATATTTTGAAAGGGGCTTTGTATCGGGACAAGGGTCAAATGAGGACCAATCATTATAAAGTTCATCAAGGCTAGCATATCACTTGGTTTGCAGCTTTTTGTCTGGGTACGAGTATATTAAACATAGTTGTGAACTTAAGAGCCCTATTAGGGGTGTTCAGTTGTCTGGGGGGTAGGTGAAATAATGAACCGATGTTAACCATTATCAATAGACTTCGTCTCTGGTATAATGGAAGATTATGTGCCAAATTTTATTGAATTATCTTGAAAATTGCGACCTGTTGTTTGATTACAAGATTTACATGGACGGACGGACAGACAGATGGACGGACATAGCTAAAACAACACAGAAAATGATTCTAAGCCAGCGGTATACTTTAAGGTGGGTATAAGAACAATATTATTGTGCGTTACAAATTGTCCTAGACTAGGAAAATTCAATTCAACCCAAGACACTTCTCATTCATCCGACACACTCACCCTTCAATTATATAAAAGGTTTTGTAACGATTCATCATTTTCTAAGATGAATCGTACCTAAGCACCTCCCACAATAACATAGACGATTTCATTTCCCTGAAAGCCA